CATTCAGTTACCAGTGAAACATTGTTGCCCTATAGCATGCTGTTTACATTGCCTGCCATCAACATGTGGGTATGCCAATCTTCAATATTCCAGTTAGTATGTGTTGAAAATGTTGTAGAGTTTGGTCCTTTTTTTTTTTGAACTTACCAGATATCATTTGTTTGTAACATTGTGTAGAAAGGGGAAGACAATCTCAGAACTCAGGGTCATTTTATCCCTCATTCTTATCGTCTCTATTATAATAAAAGGTTGGAGTCGTTTAAGACGTTCTGCCATCTACTGGTGAATACACGGTACAATGACCAACTGGTTAAGAGAACGCCCCTTAGATTATACATCACAGAGCTGTATTTTAGGTTTAATTGCCTTGGAGAACTTTAGTAAAAGACTAAATACAAAATGGTAAAGGCCAAAAATATAGGATGTTTTAAAATGCCACATGTGAAAGAAGTCTTAGTTGTCGGTTTTCTATCAGAGGTATAACGCATTGAAAATAGTATACACTAGTATTTGGGGTCTGCATTTTTTTTTAAAGCTTTTCAAGCAAATCAGAAAGATGAGTGTAATATGGTATGTTTTTGCTGATAAAATTTGCTGTGAAACATTTGTTTTTCTCCAGTCCAGTCAAGAATGAGCTGCTACCGCCACTCGAGGCTTGCGTGGCAATTTCGGCTCTGCCACAGCAACTCTCCCATTTGAAATTGAGCCGTTCACAGTCCAATAGCATGCCTTCCACGCCAGAGATACACGTGCACAGGCAGCTCTCTCTCAGGTACTTCAATTTATCTGTCTGTGAAGTATTCTGCTTTTAAACAATCTGCACAAGTATGCACACCCTCTTTTAACAGGGATGTGGCTGCATTTGGAATTAACCAATCACATTTACAATCATGTTAAGTGGGAGTCGGTTTCATCAGTCTATTACACATTGTTTCCCATGAGTTTGAGAATGAAAATTTTAGGTATTACTCCGGCCTTAGGCAAAGTGAATGTAATTATGAATAGTTCCAAATGCTAGTCTGTGATAGCACAAAACCTTCAGGCCTCTGATGGAAAGCAGATAAATGTAAGGAAAAGTCTACTAGAACATCTGAACTTTACTTAAGGGTTAATCAGAGGCACTTTAAATGGTGGCAGGTGTGTGCTGACTCCTATTTAATGAGTTTGAATATGATCAGATCATTCTGAATACAGATGTCCCCAGTTATAAAAGGGTGTGCACACTTATGCAAGCACCTTCTTTCCATAGTTTATTTTTACTTAATCTCTTGAAAATATATTTTTTAAACAACTGAGTTACATCGAATATAGGTTACATTGATGATGAAAGAAGTTTTCTCATGATTTATCTCTGGACTCTTCTTTTTTTTTAATCATAGAACCCTGGTATTTGTGGAGACATTTTATATCCACTGTCGTTGAACCAGTCTTAGCTGTGTTTAAACACATTCGAACATTTGTGTGACTTGCGCAGGATGTCTAACCCTGAATCTTCACCCAGACAAGACAAGGACCGTGGTCGCACCAGAGGTCCAAGGAGGCGCCTGACAGACTACAACAAAACCCCATCAGGAGGACCTTCGCTCACATTTAGCCCCAGAAACCAAGCAGGCTCTGAGGATAGCAACTCCGAGCACTCGTTTGCATCCTACAGCAGCTCCCCCAGCCAGGAGCTGCCTTGTGATTTGACGAAACACTGTCTGGCTCCCTCTCCGCTTTCTGCTCCATTTGGTAGCTACGGACCCCAAAACTCCCCAATTGCTGGGTTTTACCACAGTCCCAGAAACCAGTCCAAAGCAGATGTCCACAAAGCCTATTACAATGAGGAAGTGGTCTACTCTCCGTATGTGGATATGCCGTGGAGCTATTACACCGATCAGTCTTCATGCCCCCCCAACAGATATGAGTACCGCTACAAAGAGGCCCCTGTGCCCCTACAGAGAGCACCGAGGCATTTGGCGCCTGATAGCAGACTCTCCCCCTCCTTAGCACAATGGGATCATCCGCAGTATCGCTCCAACTGCCTCCCACGGCAAGTAGTAAACGAACAGCTGAAATCGTGGCATCGACGCAGTCAGCTCAAAGGACCCAGGTCGCGTTCCCTTGACAGACAGGGAGCGGTCAGGGTGAAAAACATGGCAGCTCTGGAGGCAATACGATATCAAAATCAGAAGTACCAGGAGCAGGTAGGCAAAACGTTTGTTGATTAATTTGGCCTCAGAAACAACTTTGAATTACGCCTGCACGTTTCTTTTTGACATCAACTTTATTACCATTCTGCCAGACTGCTTTTCTCCAATGATTTTTTTCTGTCACTCACTTGCAGGCCCCCCAAAGAAGAGCTGCTCAATGGTCTACTGATGACTCTCAAGGACACTGGGTTGTAGACAATGGCACCCACTATATAAGTCAAGTGTGACACCGTGAGATCGAATGAGTTTGGACTAAGTGAGAGAAACCTTCAGCCAATTTCATGTGAACTTGTTAGACAAATCAGCAGTTCGATAAAAAATTTCACCTGAATGGGTGAAAGGTTATAATGTTGTGATGTTTCGTGATAAAGGACACAAATGTGGAACATTGACATGAATGAATACGAATGATGAACCGACGGGGCCAAATACCTTTCAGCCATTATGTGTCTCTAACTTGACACCATGTGTAACAGTTATGAATTGTTGGAGTCTATTCCAAGTAATTGTATGAAGAATATGAGCCACCATTGTAAGATAATACAAATGAATAATGTGCCCAAAAGTATATGGAGAATACTGTTTTCTGTTTGCTGCATCAATCAGCATGCCCGTTTTGCCACTTAATCATTTATCTTAAATTGTCAGAATAGTCTTGTTTCCCAGCAATTTCTTGCTTCTGTGCCATTTAATGTTACATACTGATCTGCCTATGACTTAACTAGTTGAAACTATGCTACTGCGCTGTTATAGACGTCGGTACCTGAGGTTCAAAGTAGAATGGTAGTAAAAGTCTTAATGCGTGGCAGCTATGTTCCGTACATGTCAAATGAAAAATATGTGCGATTGCAGATTACTGCAGACCAAACTAGTTTGCTCCAGAACTGCTCAACATTTTTGTGTCGTCCGTGTGAAATATTGCATATGTGTCACAAAGTAGAAGCATGTATATTTTAACTCAACTCACTCACAGCTCTTCACTGTTATGTATTTATCAGTTATTTATTCACCCTTGTGAAATCACCTGAAGTCAGACTTGAAATCAGTGAAGCTGCAGAGTGAGTTTAAGAATGGCTGATACAGTAAACAACGTGTATAAAAGAGACTACGATCATGCTTCCTTGTGTGTTGTATTATTTTAGATGCTGAGGCTGAAATGGAACCCGTGTTGTAATATTGTTGCATATGTCAGAATATTTTCCTGTGGAATCAATACGTTCTTCTCTTTACCGGTGCTTTCATTGCTGAATATCAATCGCTTTGTGTTGACCTGATGTTATAAAGGAATGCGCGCACGTGTGCAGTCCAACTTAGGAGTCACTGGCGCAAAGATGGACAAATATGGACTGTACTTTGACTTTTACTTGATGCTTCTTGGTCAAATCTAAAGTATGAGGCCTCGCAAATAAACTGCTGGTGGACTGCGGTGCGACAGAACTAAACCTGTAAAACAGAATTTTGAGAAGAATATAAGAAAGATGCCTGCAAAGCTGAGTCAGGTCTTTTTTGTTCAACTGTTGTAATTTACAGTTGTATTTTACGCATTGCATTCAAGGATCAAGGAAAGCTATAAGAACAGTCCGAATCAAAATGTATTTTCGAGTTTCTTTTACATTAATTTCAAGATTTTACTCAAGTAAATACTGTATCTGTCACAAGCTTTGCACAAAATAATCGAAAAGTGCATCAGGTATGTTGTTGGAATTATCCAATCTCACTCAATTGGTTGAAAAGTGTTTTATTACTGCAAAATCTATTTCAAAAATCAATAGTGACAGACCGAACGATCAAATCCATTCATTTTCTGATCTGCTTTATCCTCACGAGGGTCACAGGGGGTGCCTAAGCCTATCCCAGCTGTCTTGGGGCAGTAGGGGGGGGGGACACCCTGAACTGGTTGCCAGCCAATCGAGGGCTCACGCTCACACCTAAGGACAATTGAGAGTGTTCCGTTGTTTTTGGAATGTGGGAAGAAACCAGAGTACCCAGAGAAAACCCATGCAGGCACGAGGAGAACATGCCAACTCCACACAGGGAGGCCGGAGCCAGGATCGAACCTACAACCTCTGCACTGTGAGGTTGATGCACAAACTACTTGACCATTGGGCTACCCCAGTCAAATCCTCTTGGACGAAATGGCAGAAGGTACCATTGAACATGTTGCCATTCATACAACTGAATACTATAATAGCTTTTCTCCCAGCAACTAGAGGCCTAGATTTGACAAGGTGTAAGTATATTCCTGAATAAAATAAGACGAAATAATCATTATTTCAATACATGTGCAGTACTTTTGTGACATCTTTGTGGGGTGGTGTGTCGTCAGATTTTTCTAAGTTAATATGCGTTGGCTCGTTAAAGGGTGGAAGTCATTCCGTATAACAACTGTATCTTTTATTTTGAAGTGAATGGTTAACGAATAGTTACTTTTGTTTTGAAGGATATGGATTAACTATGCGGAAGAGATCGTAACTTCCGGAAAGGATTGTATTTTGTGTTTTTTTTTTCGATTAATAATTCACCTCGGTTTGAGGACTACCTTGTCAGGTAATTTGCGTGCCTTGAATGCAATTGTAGTGGCAAGTGTTTTTTCTTTTCTCTTAGAAGCCGAATAATTGTCACGAATTAAACCCCAAACTGTCGCTTGTTTGCCAGCTCAGCGCTAGCTTAAAGGTAACGTTAGCGACATGAAATATGAGCGATCTGTCAGCACACATTTGTTTTGAACTCTTGCTAAATTAGGATTTGCTCCGTGACATAAACGGTAAGCGACCGAAGGAACATAAATTCATCAAATCATCGGTATCTTGCGTTTGTTGTTTACGTTTTGTTTTGTTGCGGGACTGAATTGGGTCTGGCGCTCTGCAAAGTCACATCCGTTGTTTGTCTGCCCGCCAGCGTTTGCTGTGTTCCCAGTTTGCACGTTCTGTTGTTCGGTTGTCATCTCGGCATTGACCCTTAATCGCGATTGAGAAAGGTGAACCGAGCTCTTTCTCTCTGAAATTTTACAATCAGGTGGATTCATTACGAAACTTCTATCAAGATGTATGTCATGGAATGGTAAACCTAATTAATCGTCAATCTCATCTGTTTTGCGTTGCTCTCAATTGAACGATTAGTCCATGTTTATTGGAACGTAAAGCCTCTTTGAGTTTCACTCCAAGAACACTTTTGTTAGAGCGTGTAAATCTCAACCGCGAGATTAATTATTCTTAATTATCTCAATGCAATAACAGAAACATCTCTAAATTACAGGAGTTGGTGTTGCATGGAATAACCTCAACTTCAAATTGTCCACTGTCAACTGGCTGTAAATTAATTATTTGGTGGCCTGTCGGTGACATATTTGTACGCTTCTGCAACTTAATGTGAGTCACAATTAAAAACAAGTGCCAGTAGAGGCAACAGAACATTGTATTATGCAAAATGCGAACTTTCTATCTCGGCAATAATTCATCCAGTTCTGCACGGATATAACCAATCTCTTTTCATTACTGAGTATGACTGCACTTTAGTTCAATTTAGTAAAGTGTCTCTCAGCCAAAACAAATGGACTTGAGGTTTGAGCATTATTATAAGTCTTTGTTTGACTGCGTGGAGCAGGCCTACCCACTGTGCCGCAGTGCATTAATGTGTCATGAGAGATCATCAGGTGTGCTGCAGTAAGTAAATTAACCATTTCACTGAATTGGTCGGGAATGTGTATTTATTCGCTACAAATAATGTACCTGTAAATGCTGGGCAATGCTATTAACAACATATGTTTGCATGTTATATCTATGTGTGTTTACTCACTGTGAGAATCATAAAATATCTCACCAAAACACTGAATTTTGAACTTTGTATTTTTCTCAGGAGGAAATTGAAGTGTACAGTTTGAAGCAGAATACAGGGACTGAGAGTGGGTCATCAGGCAGTCTCCCTATGTCAGGCCGAAACGGGTCTGCAAGTGATGCAGACTGCCGGATCTCAGAGGACTGCCATGTCCCGGATGTGGAACTAATGGAATTGGGGCCGCTGCTGGAGGAGGGAGGGGTTCGCCCGCCGGCCTCCAAAGGTGTCCATCCAGAGGTATGACTTTTTTTTTTCCCCCCTAATCCCCAAACTGAGAAAATTATTTCTGCTTAGCTTCAGTAATCCTCTCTCGTTAAAGGGAGCAGCCATGCTTGCGGATGAGGAGGAGGATGATGATGATGATGAGGTGGGAGAGGTTCTGACTTTACCACTCCAGGCGCACCATGCCATGGAAAAGATGGAAGAATTTGTACATAAAGTAAGTGTGACATTCCATTTGGGACCATGAATAAACTTTTGGTAACTCGACAGGGCAAGGAACCACACTTGGGAACTAAGCTTGAGGCAGAGTCGAACACAATAAAGCAGTAGAACGTGATTGTTGCCTGAGAGTGAAAGTCAAATAGACAGCAAAACACAATGTCACAAGGTGTGACTCCCTTCTACACCCTCAAATTGCTAACAGTACCTGTCAGTTAGTGCAGAGGTGTTGAAATATGCGTGGCTCCGCCCTCTCTTCTGAAACCGCAACTTCTGGTTCCATAATATGTACCTAAATGAAAACAGCTCACTTTTTTTTCTTCTCTGACAATCTACCTAGTGTCACTTCACTGTTCCTGTTCAGGGCATCCATTCTAGTCGTGTTCCACGACTTTTACCGAGATGTGAAGTCGGGAGTCACGAACTGTGATTGGTTGGTTCGAGGTTACAGTCAAGTTACTCTGTGTGCAGCAGGCCTGTGTAAAAGTAATCAAGACCGTCATATTTAAAAGAGGGTGTTGCACTTTCGGTATCCGTGACGGTTTTCAATTTGGAACATTTGGAAGAGCGTCACAAGCACATGAAGCTTAATGCGCTGGAAGTATTAGTGGAAAAAAAATACATGTTACAGAAAATAAATCAGGAGCTGAGCGAATTATTGGGGGAGGGGGGGCAGCATATGCAAAAAAGCCATGTTATTGTTCGATTTGACTTGTTTCGAGGGAGTGCCGAATTGGAATTATCCGCCCACGCTGTGTAATATTCTGTTTAAAACTTAGGGCAGCACATGTGAAAAACTGCTCCGACCAATTGATCTTGTGGTTCTCCCTTTTCCATACAATTTTTTACATCCCACACTGATATGAATTTGCACATGTATTTATTTATTTATTTTTTGTGAAGGTTTGGGAGGGGCGCTGGAGAGTCATTCCCTTCCATGTCCTGCCAGAGTGGCTGAAGGACAACGATTACCTCCTGCATGGACATCGCCCCCCCATGCCGTCATTCCGGGCCTGCTTTGGAAGCATCTTCCGAATTCACACAGAGACCGGAAACATTTGGACTCATCTGTTAGGTCAGAATGCAAATTACGTGTGTTTTGTTTAAGATCGCTTTTTTATGTCAGGACTGTATTCCTGTCATGGGTTTATAGTCGGTGTGAATATATTTGTTTTACACGTGAGCCAGAGAGAACATTGCGGAACTGTTTTGGTCTCCCCCAGGGCTGATTTTATTCCTGTGTCTGGGCACGTTAACCATGTTGCGACCCAACATGTATTTCATGGCTCCGCTTCAAGAGAAAGTGGTGTTTGGGATGTTCTTCCTGGGAGCTGTGCTCTGCCTCAGTTTCTCCTGGCTTTTTCATACCGTCTACTGCCACTCCGAGAAAGTGTCTCGCACCTTCTCCAAGTAAGTCTCGAAGCACTTTTCATGAATACCCTCTTCATATTTCAGCTCTTTATAAATTACAAAATAATTTGACAGCGTCTCCATCTTAACTTCATAGATTAAAAAACCTTGAATTTGTATGCACCATCACCATGGGTGCTAGAAATTCTCGAAAATGCCCCTATAATTAGTGTATACACAATTTTGTTTCTTTCTGGTATATAATAAATCCATCTCTTTTTTGGGGGGAGGGTAACCGAACTCCCTGTTTTATGTGGAAACCCGTGTTAGTCACTTTTCACAGCTTCCTGCTTAATGACATTTTTTTCCAGATTTTTTTTTTCCCCCCATAGCAAATTTTCACAGAAAGTGAAAAATCGAAAACCACCGTTGGCTTTTTTTTAATTACTGTACCCACTTTCACGTCAGTCATTTAGTTTTATAATTTAAATGGCATGACACGTACTGTTAACAACATTACCCAAAAAATGTCCACACAATTTTGTCGACGGATAGTGCAGGAAACTAGGAATTACATTAATAATGATCTGAATAAGGGTGCAGATGAAGGGGTGTATTTTTTTTTTTTTTTTTATCATTTCAAAGTCACAATTTGATATCAATAGAATCGTTCACCAACTAAGATAATATTGGCTCCTGTCTGTTCTTACTCTTTGGTTCAGCAGAAACTAGCCTGCATGAATGAATGAATGAATTGATATGCAAACCCAATAACAAATCTTTTCACTTTTATTAATAGTTTCACCTTGATGGGGTTCTTGAACAGTACAATACATCTTTCTTCGTATTGCAGTTTCACAACAGCTGTAGTTATATATGATCCTGACATCGCTAAAACAACAAATCCTATGGTCGATTTTTGCACAGTATTATACAAACAGAAAAAAATATTTAATTTAATAAATGTTGGAACTGTGCTTTGACTACAGGAAAGAAGACCGAACTACTATATATTTCAGTGTAGTTACACACCGCTGCAATCTACAGCCAATAATAATAAACTGACTGTTGAATGAATACATGTCCGACAGTGTCAGCTGACTCGTCATCTGTTAGAGGCAGAATTAGTGCACAGATTGTGTTTCGGAAAGGATCCGATGAATCTTTCATTTGTCCCTCAGGCTTGACTACTCAGGCATCGCGCTCCTCATCATGGGTTCCTTCGTGCCCTGGCTGTACTACTCCTTCTATTGTTCTCCTCAGCCGCGACTTATCTACCTCACCATTGTTTGTGTACTCGGCATTGCCGCCATTATAGTGGCCCAGTGGGACCGCTTCTCCACACCTCGACACAGACCCACCAGAGCAGGTAATACCATCGCCACACTATAGTGTTTCAATGAGTATTTGACATACTATTTGGCCTCTTCCAAATAAAGTGGCCATTGCATATTAACATGGTTAAAATGATTTAAAATGCTATTTTGGCCTGTCTTTAGGTGTGTTTATGGGTCTGGGACTTAGTGGCATTGTTCCCACCATGCACTTCACCATTGAGGAGGGCTTCGTTAAGGCCACCACTGTTGGCCAGATGGGTTGGTTTTACCTGATGGGGGCCATGTATATTACTGGTGCTGGTCTTTATGCAGCCAGGATACCCGAACGCTATTTTCCTGGCAAGTGTGACATATGGGTAAGTATTTCATCCCCCCCATCAACACCTTGCGGCTATCTGGTGCCCAAGGGCACCACGTTGTTGACCCTTGCGCTTCACTAACACCACACAGACATGGACTTTAATTTTTTTTTACTTGTCTTAGCCACACACTTCATGTTAGAAACATGGGGAAATGTGAATTCAACAAAGCCTTGTTGAGTAAACAATGCTTTCGCCTTTGGCTTCAACCGGTGTACTGTATAGCTACAGTATGTGTTTAAATTCAGCTGGGTACAATGGGCCTGAAGATATTGTGTTTTGGGGGCTGCAACTAACGATTATTTTAATAATCAATTCATATTATTTTTGGCCTGAATGCATTAATTGTATTTTCATTCACTTCAATGGGGAACATAATTTTGAGTTAAGTGGGTTATGAGCTTGGGCACGGACTTAAACTCCTAACTCAAGGTACCCACTGTATTGGGAGACATGTAAGTAAAACAGTAGTAACAATTCAACCCTGAAACATGATACCAGCATCTTCAATAATTTACAAGACCCTGTGATGCCGATCTAGTGTTAGTTTGCAGATAGGTGAATGGCCCCCTTTCATGTGTGAGCAAAGCTTATTTTCACAGAATTAGATGCAATTTATTGTTTGTACTCATAATGTATTTCTCTCTGCTTTTAGTTCCACTCCCATCAGATTTTTCATGTTCTGGTCGTGGCAGCAGCCTTCATCCATTTCTACGGCGTTTCCAACCTGCAGGAGTTCCGCTATGGCCTGGAGGGAGGATGCACAGATGACACTCTACTCTGAGCGGCCTAACTGTGACTTGTTTTCTGAATAGCCCCCCACAAACACCACATGCACACATTCATGCACACACAAAAACAGTACAAATGCTGCTGGAATTCCTTATAGTCACTTATTGCTCGTTATTTACTTCTGGTTTGCTCAAATGGTGGTGAGGGCTTCGGAGGGCTTTGGTTTCTGCTTGGGCTTATCTTTGCTCGAAAGAAGTAGCATTAACTAGCCAAACAAGCACCTGAGGGGAATCGTCCACAGTCACTACTTTTTCAAGAATGAAACTTGAAATTTGCATCTAAAGTAAGATCGATTTATTGGAAAGAGTACCTCCCTCTTACTGATGGTCACTAACCTGTTGGTCTCAGATTTTCGGCATGTGGCAAATGGTAAGAAGAGTATTATTAAAAAGTACTGTAGCAGTGGGAGCACATTATAAATCAATCATTCTCTCCCACGTGGTCTGTCCAGGCCTGAGGAAGAATGTACTGTCAAGTTGTTTCGGTGCAGAACAACAATCCAGGTCAATGTAGAAACAGAGACATCCGTGTATTTGAATGAGTATAAAATGTTACATTTAGTATGGATGGATGTTGCCAGACGTTTACTATGCTAACAATTATTGTTCAACTATTGGTTGAAATACGGCGGACTACCACAGAGTGTAAGACTCTGAAAGCCGAGGGTAATGTACCAAAATCTATTTGCCTGGTATTTGAACAGAGAGAAGTTCATCACACCATTTCCTATATTACATGATTTTTTTTTTTTTCAGAGTTAACTTTCATTTGATACGTAACTTTATCTGAGAAAAGGTCCCAAAACCAACTTGTTTCACATCAGAGAAAAGATTTGCAGCAGTTGTGCAAAAAGAAAGACCGGATGGAAACTTGTAAATGTAAAGAAGTTCCTAGCTGTTATTTTCCAGGCAATACATCCTTTCTTTTCTCATGTGTAGATTTTGGTCCAAGGCTACGCACAATGTACAGACGTGGAGGGTCAAGTTGTGTTTTTGTCAGTTGCGAGCTTCCTTTTGTGTTCAATTTCAGATGCAATCTGAGGTGTAAATAGCAAATGCGCCTCTTCCGTATTCTTCAATTCAAAACTTTTAATTAACAAATGGGGTTTTAAACGTTACGTGTGATTGGTACAAAACTTTAGTGTTCCTGTGCCTTAGGCCAATGGAAATGTTTTAAACAAAATGGCCTATCTGAACAGTCAAGGGATCCACAGTGATTTCCAGATGTAGACTCATCTTGATTTCCTTGCCATATACAATCAAAACAAATCATTGAACTACAGCCCCACGGACCGGTTGTATCAACTGCTGTTTAAGACTACTTTTTTCTAGATCAACTTAAGCTTTATTACAGACTAAAAGGTGTTTCTCGACTTTGTGTTATGTCTTGTGTAGAAAGTGAGAAATCATACATTTCATTGAAATGTAGACATAACTATTTATTAATCGTAATCTTGGGGGAAAATACTGTAATAAATTTTTTTTCCACATGTACAGAGGAGTCCTATTTTTTCTTACTGTTTTGTGTATTGTCACCAGTGCGAAAGCGCCCCCCCTTTTTTTTTTTAAATCAACGTAAAATGTACACCAATAACAGTTGTGAAGAACTGGGGATTGATCCCACTACCTTTGACTTGGTCAGCGAGCACGCTGCCATTGAGCTAATCTCATTGAAGGGACCTGTAGGGCTCTCACTGATGATCGAGTTCGTAGTCACACTCACATCCCATTTAAAAAAAAAAATATATATATATATATCATCCGCCTTGCATGCACTAATTGTCATCAAAAGCATTTTCCCTTGCTGACCGATTGGAATGGGATTTTT